CAGTTCTTCTCTCTGAGCAAGGGATGAGGCCCTGGCTCTCCTCTGCATGGGGAAGAGGTGCGATGCCAGAGGGCCTTCATGACGAAGCATCCTCCCATGTTGAGGGTGGGATGAGCTTAAGGTTTGGTGTGAATCAAGTTACGGATTGAATCTTGGCTGTTTGGCTGTTTAGCTGAATGTCTGAACATACCAACAAATGCCCAGAACTGTTTTTTGACATTCTGCACTCTATTGACTACCGGGGGTTCAACACCTGGACTTTAGTCATGTTTACAACATAAAGAATTGCAGGGAAAATGGATTTCTTTTAAGCACCCAGAAACTTTATTGATGCAAATATTGTTTTCAAAACATTAAAAAAGCACCCTCATATATTGAAATGTAACATTCTCATATTAAGTCCTAAGACTTTGGACTTTTTTCAGCACTTGGTTGGCTACTAGGGGGTTCGGCTTCGGCACCTAAACTTTAGTCATGTTTACAATATAAAGAATTGCGAGGAAAACATGGATTTTTTAGGCACTCAGAAATGAGTAAAACGTCTAACAACTTTACTGATACAAATATTGGTTTCAAAACATTGAGAAAAAAGCACCCTCCTATATCGAAATGTAACGTTCCCCTATTAAGTCCTAAGACTGTAGATGTATTAAGTGGGTCTTCAATGGTCCTTCAATCAGTAGCTGGAAATGTTTCATGGTGATCCGCTTCTTCAGGAGTGTCTTGGGTACTGGATTAGTTACAACATGACATATGCATACAAGGCATACTTCATTAGAGATACAATTGTGTCTTTACACACTATAATATCAATATATTACACTTCATGAAAGATTCAACACACTTACATGTAACATGAAAATACAAGCAGAGTCATGTGGCAAAAATTGGTTCCTATGCCTGTGTGAGGGCATACACACAAGACAACAAACAATTCTCCAGGTAGCCTAGACATATAATAAAAGGTGTCAATGCAAGGCAAGCATACCCTATAATATACAATCCACGCCAAATCACGTTCATGTACATCATTTGAATTTAAGTGGGTATATCGGGATGATGACTGCAGCTACAGGCATTATCCTGGTATTGTTTTTACAGCCGGCGCTTGATGGTTTTTACAGGCGGTGTGAGGGAGGGGAGGGGTGACCCACGGTGAGCCCAGAATAAACGTTGTCGGCTTACCACACGGGACTGGAAGGTCTCCAAAGGGCTCTATGATCTCATAAATTGGAGGCAACAAGCATTTTAGTCACTTCAGGTTTCTCAAATTTAAAAAGCGCCATTTGTACATCTGGAAAGTATCTGATCACTCCTATATTGGTGTGATCAGATGCTTTTTGTCAGGAATGGACTTGCCAATAGTGGTGGGACTCACCTGCCTTGTGGGCTGCAGTACCAGGGCTGGCCAGCGGGTGCTCTCAACAACCAGAGGTTCACTTCGGCAATTAGCCATCACCTGGGGCTGATTGCAGGTGGTATATTTAAGGGATGGCCAGACCTGCAGTCTGGGCCTTGGTGTGTGTTTTTCCATGGGCCCCTGTATCTTGTAACCTGCATTCCTGTTCCTGTTTCTGCCTGACTTGTTGCCAACCCTGCCTGATCCTGACCTCTGCTGACTTCTCCTGTTTGATCCCTGGCTTGTGACCCTGACCATTCTCTCCGCCTGCTCCTCCCGTACCTACCTGCCCGATAGTTATCGACCCGGCCTGCCTGACTACGTTGTGCTCTATATGTGTATGTACCTGTGTATCTATACCAGTTTAGGTTTGGGTTTGTTTCACCTTGTTGTATGTATTTGTGTTAGCTTGGGGTTTGGTGCACTGCGTTTATATTTGTATTGTTAGTCTCAATAAATTATATTATTTACTATATCTGAAGCCTACGTTTCCCTGTGTCAGTCCACACACTTCTGGTCACACCCACATCCCTGACACTTTTAAGGGCAGAGGGGACATCTGGGGTCTAAAAGACCCCAGTAGTGATGGGCCGAACACCCCTCCTGTTCGGTTCATGGTCGAATATCCGAACCTACAGAATGTTCGACCGTGAACTTCGAACACAAACAATTTACTGAGCGTATCTTCCTGCATCTGAGTATGTGGTAAGATAGCGCTCAGTGACTACAATCCGGCTGAGTATATATTATGTATTTTAGTAGTGAGACATTCATTCATGTCTCAGCTGTCTGTGGGGTTCCCAGCTATCAGCTGAATTGAAAAAAAAATTGCCGTCATTGCTCGACAATTAAAACATTTTTAAAAAATGGTGTTTGTCCCCCCTCCCATCCATGCCAAGCCCTTTGGGTCTGGTATGAATTTTGAGAGGAACTCCCATGCTAAAATAAAAAAATGGCTTGGGGGTCCCCCCCAAAATTCATACCAGACCCGTATCCAAGCATGCAGCCCGGCAGGTCAGGAAAGAAGGGGACAAGTCAGTGCCCCCCCCCCCCCCCTCCTGAACCATACCAGGCCACATGCCCTCAACATGGGGCGGTGCTTTTGGGCAGGGGGGCTCCCCCCCAAAGCACCTTGTCCCCATGTTGATGGGGACAAGGGCCTCCCCCCACAACCAAGGCCGGTGGTTCGGGGGGTCCCCCCTCCCATCCATGCCAAGCCTTTTGGATCTGGTATGGTTTTTGAGAGGAACCCCCATGCTAAAATAAAAAAAGGGCTTCATACCAGACCCTTATCCAAGCATGCAGCCCAGCAGGTCAGGAAAGAAGGGGACAAGTGAGTGCCCCCCCTCCTAAACCATACCAGGCAACATGCCTTCAACATAGGGGGTGTGGGGCAGGGGGGGTCTGCCCCCCACAAGCACCTTGCCCTTGTGTTGATGGGGACAAGGGCTTCTTCCCCACAGCCCAGACCGATGGTTGTGGGGGTATAAGGGCAGGAGAATTATCAGAATCTGGAAGCTCCCTGCCGGCAGACCCCCACAGCCACCAGCCAGGATTGAGGGGAAGAGGTCCCTGCCCCAAAACACTCCACCATGTTGATGGCATGTTGCCTGGTATGGGTCAGGAGGGGGAGGCGCTTGCTCAACCCCCCTTTTCTGACCTTCCAAGGCTGCACGCTCCGATAACGGTCTGGTATGGATTTTGAGGAGAACCACAGCCATTTTCTTTTTAATTTGGCATGGGGGTTCCCCCCAAAATCCATGCCTTTTGGCCCTTTGATTACTAGCAGTTCTTTTTTTTACATTTAGCTGATGACTCATCAGTTGTTAAGGACGTGCCAGGCGGCTGCTCCTTAACAACCATATTGTTTACTGGTTGGTAAGGATGCCAGCAGCCGTTTGCTCCTTAACAACCAGCTATTTATCATGCTGGATATGGACACCAGCTACCGCCGGTGGTAAATTACTGCAGGCTTTCACTACTGAAATACTACGTGACTTCATGAAATAGCACCAGTGATATTATAGTAGCGTTTTTTAGTGAACGCCAAAAAAAATTTAGAATTTTGATAAATGCTTTGTGAATGGAGCCCATTATCACCAAGTTGAAGTGCCAGACCAGGGGTAGGCAACCTTCAGCTCTTCAGCTGTTGCAGGACTAAAAGTGCCATCATGGCTCCGCAAGTCATAGCTGTAACTGTCAGTTTTGTAATGTTACAATGCCTCATGGGAAATGTAGTTCCACAACAGCTAGAGAGCCGCAGGTTGCCTACCCTTGTGCCAGACTCTTGCAAGGTCACCTGACACTATGGAAATATGTTATGTGAAAGACAAAGAGCCAGATCTTGTGCATACGCCAACGGAGATCTAGTGCCGTGTCTTTTACATTACATGTTGCCGTGTTGGACAATCCCATGAGAGTTTAGCACTTTCAGCTCAGCAGCCTTCTGGGATGTGTGATGTGTATCCCAGGAGATTGTGGCAGAGATCTTCTGACACAATGACAACACGTTGTGGGAGACATGACTCCATATCTCTTCAATATATACAATTGTGTCAAATGAGTGAATAGGAAGTAATGTTATGCAATATGGAAAATGAGGTTGGTGGTTCACTTTGGGTTCATACAGTAGGGGAGTTTCCAGGCCGAGCAAAAATGTATTGGTTGGGTTAAGGTGAAGGAATTGGCCTAGGGGTTACATTCAAGTTAACTATTACATTAAGAAGTTGATGGTTCAATACAAGAGGGTTAGGAGGCCCTGATCCTGGGAGCTTACAATCTAAGAGTTTAAGTATCTAGACTAGGTGGATGTTATGCTTACCTCCCAACCATCCTAGATCATGTGGGACTGTCCCGGGATTTCACCAAATTCTCAGTATGCCACAGATCCTGTTGTTTCCTGGAAACCAATGCCTAATTCTAACTCTAACTTAGGTCGCCATCTTCCTAAAGTGTTCCTCATGCTCAAGTTCAAAAGTTGTGAGGTATGGTTGTGGTTGTGTGTTAGTTTTAGGGGTTCCACTGAGGAGAATGTTCAATAAGTGACTATTACATCTTCAAATATGATCAATTCACGTTATGGTGATAGCTAAGTATACAGAGCTTGAAGTAACTGTTACCTGTGATGGATATTTGTCTGCTAATATTTTTAGTGCAGAAACTGATGCCAAAAACCCATGCCCATTTCCAGAATCCGCCAAGTGAACACAAAGCATTCTTAAGTTTTGGATGGAGTGTGGAAGGGTTAGACTCTCTACCAAGTTTTCATTGCCGGCTGTGTCTCTGTAGGGAGAGCCACTCTTTTTGTTGGTCCTGGTGACCATTGTTTTAGAATTGCCATGAGATTAAAAGGTGAGGGGAGACCTTCCAATGGGGACCAATGTTCTGGTGACTTTATGGAGATTTCTTCTAGTTTCCCATTGCTTCTCCAAGACTGAAAATGAAGGGAAATCTCCCCAGTAGGATACAAGAAAAAATAGTAACACAATGTTGATTTTAACCCTTCCATACTTTATCCAAAAGCAAAAAAAAACAGGTTTTTCCTATACATGCACTTTATTAGCACGGTGTACATAACGAGCTCACAGAACCCCCAGACTTGCACTGAAGTTTGGGTTGAAGAAGATCTTCCCCTTTCATTTCATAGACTAGAGACTTCCAATTAATGACATTCCCATAACGGTCACCAGAGATGACTTTCTGAATGTCTCTTGGGGTCAGGACATAATCCCACATGTGGACATCACTTATTTCTCCAACCAATGGAAAAATAGTGTCAAAATTTCCCCCATAAGTATATTTATTATGAGTCTGTCCCAGAACAATGCTGGTTTCACATCATCAATAGAAAACCCTTTAGCTAAGACTCTCCTAGGGTAGAGCTTTCCATTGACCCAAAGTTGGACCACTCCAGTGTCGGAGTCCCAGGTCACACAGACGTGCCTCCAGTTCAAAGAATCTGAGTCTGTCCTAATAACGATTTGTTGTCCATTTACAATTATAGAATAGAAGTTTGGAGAGTTTGAGAAGAATATAAAAGCATTTTTACTGGCTGGAGTAGCGAGAGAGAAGAGACTATAAACACGTATAAGGTCACTGTAGGAATGTAGACAGACGGTGACTTTCTGCAATGGCTTTGTAATTGTAGGTTTCAGAATGACATGATCCGTGCTTCTTTCTCTGGGGAAGAGGAACACTTTACCCTCCAAGTCTGGAAAACAAAGAAAAAACATAAAACACATTACTGCTGCCAATCAGTGTATATGTATTAGGTGTATCAAAAGCATAGAAGTTGTTTTTTTGTACATCATGGATGGAGTAAGGATGGTTGAACACCTTGTCAGTGTATCGCTCCCCCTCCCCCCGTAGAGGCCGCTGGATAGGATGGGTTCTCTGTTCTCAGCCCCTCTGACACACTAAGTTGAGTGTGCAAACATACAATGTTACAGGAAATCACTGGAAGTAATACTTAGTACCCAATATTAGTGCTACATCACAGAAAACAGGCACCAAACCAGGTAGTAAACGCAAACTTAATATATTGTCACCCAAAAACTGTTGGTAACTAGACAAATATAACATGGATTAATAATGGTAATAACACAGCTTGGCATACAAAGTGATTACAGTTTGGACTCGTCATAAGAAGATATTTGGCATCAACATAAACAGTAGCAAGGCCATCTCAGTGCAGCAGTGAGGAGTAGCAATGTTTAATCTACCGAGTGCTGGAACTATACTGCCAGGATGCCTTTTTGGCAATGCTAGATCTAGACCAGGGGTGGGCAAACTTTTTGACTTGAGGGCCGCAATGGGTTCATATATTGGACCCGGGGACCGGACCAAGAGTAGATGAATGATGTGTATGTGTCATCCATAGTAAGTATAGTAATATTCCCCATAGTAGCATAGTAATTAATCCCCCCATATAGTAAATCCCCCATAGTAATTATCCCCCATATAGTAATTCATCCCCAATGTTAATTTTAGTAATTAATCCCCCATTATAGTAATTCATCCCCCATATAAACTCATCCCCCAAAAGTAAATAGTAGGTTTTCCCCCATATAGTAATTCATCCCCCATAGTAATTCATTCCCCCATATAGTAATTCATTCCCCCATAGTAATTCGTCCCCCAATTTCATCCCCCCCATATAGTCACAGAACCCCCAGGATAGCACTGTAAGTTTGGGTTGAAGAAGATCTTCCCCTTTCATTTCATAGACTAGAGACTTCCAATTAATGACATTCCCATAAACGGTCACCAAGAGATGACTTTCTGAATGTCTCTTAGTAATTCATCCCCCATATAGTAATTCATAGGACATAATCCCACATGTGGACATCACTAGTAATTTCTCCACCAATTCAAAATAGTAATTTCATCCCCCAAGTAATTCATCCCCCATAGTAAATTCATCCCCCATTTAGTAATTCATCCCCCATAAAGTATATTCATCCCCCATAAGAAGTCTGTCCCAGAATTTCTGTAATTTCCCCCATATGTAACATCCCCATAGTTATTTCCACCCAGTTTAGATAAACCTCCCCTAGGGTCATCCCCCCCATTAGTAAGCTTTCCATTCCCCCATAAGTATAATTTATGTATGAGTAATTTCTCCCCCCAGGTCAATGCTGGTTTCATTCATCAATTCATCCCCCATATGTAAAATTCAAACCCCCTTTAGCTAAGTAACTCTCCATAGTAATTCATCCCCCATTGTAATTACCCAATAGTTCATCCCCCACTCCCATATAGTAATATGGGGTATCCCCCATAGAGCTTTCCATTCATCCACCCATATAGTAATTTCCCCCATATCGTAATTAATCCCTATAGTAATTCATCCCCCCATATAGTCTGTAACTCATCCCCCATATAGTATTTGTTGTCCATTCCCATTATAGTCAAATCAATAGTAAATGTTGAGTCTGTCCATATAGAGTACTGCCTCCCCATAGTAATTCAAAGAATGAGTCTAGTGATTCATCCCCCTAAAAACATTTAATTCATCCATTTAGTAATTAGATATAGTCATACCCCCCATATATGTTTGGAGAGTTTGAGAAGAATAAAAGCATTTAATTACTGGCTGGTATAGCAATGCGTAGAGAAAGTGACTCCCCCATATAGTAATTCATCCCCCATTTCGTATAAGTAATTCCATCCCCCTATATAGTAATGTAGTCATCAGATATAGGAATGATAGTAAAATCCCCCATATAGTAATTCAACAAATTCTCCCCCATATAGTAAATCATCCCAATAGTAATTCTTTCTCCCCATAGTAATGTGTCATCCCCAATTCAGAATATAGTAATTCATCCCCCATGTAAATCATCCGTGCATGCCTTCTCAGTAATTCATCCCCTGCCAATTCAGATAGAACACTAGTAATGAATTCCCCCATATAGTAATTCATCCCCCTGGAAAATCCCCCATATAGTAATTCATCCCCCAAAGAAAAACATAGTAATTCATCCCCCATTATGCTGCCAAGTGTATATGTAATTATCCCCCCCCCATAGTAACACCCATAGTAATCATCCCCAAAGCATAAGTAATCATCCCCCTTATCCCCCCCCATGTTTTCAATCCCCCATAGTAATTCATCCCCGTAATCATGGATGTAATCAATAGTAATTCACTCCCCATAGTAATTCCCATGTAATTCATCCCCCATATAGTAATTCACTAATTCATGGCCTCCCCATGTAAGTGTCCCCCAAACATCATCCCCCCATCCCCCCCGTAGATTTATCCCGGATAATATCCCCCATCCCCCAGTTATCATCCCCATATAGTAAATTCTCAGCCCCAATAGTAATTATCTAGTAATTCATCCCCCATATGTAACATAAGTTGATGTAATATCCCCCATATAAACAGGTATACAATTTACTATCCCGGAATATATCACTAGTAAAACTTTCTTTCCCCCCATATTATTTCCCATAGTAATTCTAACCCCCCATAGTGCTACATCCCCCATAGTAGAAAAAGCACCCCCATATAGTAGTAATTCATCCCCCATATAGCAAATACCCCCATTAATAATATTGTCACCCATCCCCCATAGTAACTGTAATTCAACTAGACATATATAATTCATGTAATTTAATAATGGTAATAACACAGCTATGGCATACAAAGTGATTACAGTTTGGACTCGTCATATGATAATCAATCCCCCATATTGATGATGATATTTGGCGTTCCTCTCGCCGTGTTCCCGCGCCATTCCGGTGTAGCATGAAAATCTGTCTCCTATGAATCTGTCCCCCTCGAGTATCTGCGCATGTGCCAGTTTCAGGCATTAGCAGCCGATCGGCGATCTCCGGCACATGCGCAGATACGTCGAGGGGGCAGATCCTCATAGGAGACAGATTTTCATGCTACACCGGTCTTCAGGGCGGACTGTGAGAGGAGCCTAGCGGGAGCCTAGCTCCGCGGGCCGGATTAAAAGGTCCGCTGGGCCGTAGTTTGCCCATTGCTGATCTAGACTAACTGGGTATGCACTGTCCACAAAAAAAGGAGGATGGTAGCAGAGGGGGCAGGGGAATAAGAAGGGGCTTGCAGTATAATTATTATGGGAGGGGCAGGCTTTTGAGATGTTATTCTGGTGGCTAATGGTTGGGCCCTTTAACAGCGTCTTTGCACTTAACAACAGTCCCAGTTAACCTGCATACAGTATAGACACAGGATAGGTATGGTATTGTCTTGGCACAGGTACAAGGTAGGTGTGGTTCAGACTCGATAAAGGTTTGGGATAATGCGGTATAGGGTTGCTCTAGGTGCAGTCTAGGTTTGGAATAATGTGTGGTATGGGGTGCAGTATGGGTGTGGTATGGATTGGATATCCTTGGTGCCAGTGTTCTCAGTCGCTCAGTTCCTGCCAGCAGTATCAGCATAAGGTGAACGGCCCTCTCACCAGTTTCCGGAATGCTGTGGTGACCTCTTGCTGTAGAAAGGGGGCCCCCTTGGCCTCTTCCATGAAAGCCTATGGTGACCAGTGAGGTGGGAAGCAGAAGGTGAGTGGACACTCCAGTCTGCAGCCATGGTGCAAGTGCTGTGATGGGGGAGGTTACTCCTAGTCTCAGGCTCAGATTTCTGTTGTAAGATGAATATCCAGACAGAGGTGCTTCTTCTCTCTTTCTCTCTCTCTCTTTAACTCCCTCTGTGCCAAAAAGAAGAACCTAGCTGAGCAGCCTTGAAAAAGCAGCTCCACTTCTCCTTTGTGCCTTAGTGGCTCTTGGGAATTACAATGTAAGGATTCCATTCATCCCATTATATGGCTGCTATCTCAAACTACAACTCCCAGGATTCTCAACGCTCTGCATAGAAGTCTATGGGCCTTTTGGCATTAGCTCTCCCCCCACTAGCCTGGAGGAGAATGGTGCAACATAACATCAGTGTGTCAGTAGAGGGAGAGAAGAATAAAGGGCAATGTCTCCATCTCCATATTGCTGTAGCAGACCATCTGGCTACATCAGGAACTCTCTTCCTCTTAGACAGGAGATTTTTTTTAGCCTTTTGTCCTTATCAATACTGGTCTCTGAGCCTGACCCCTGACCGTGACACACTGGAGACTCAGTTGGGTAGAGATCTGTGCTCTCTGCTCTCTTCCTCTCATGATGGGTACATGAAGTGTGCTCTAATCAATTTTATGGTTCCAAAATAATCATGGCTCCAGGTCTACCTCAACCCTTCCCTATTCACTCTGCTACTGACTGCTTTTATGACAAAATCCCACCCCAGACCTGGCCACTTCTGTCTACAACACTCGCTCCTGACTTCATACACAGAACCAGGCCTTGCCTGCTACAATCCTGGCAAACAGATGACACCAGAAGTCTCAAAAGATGCAGCTGTGCTCTGGAGCGACTATGGCAAAAAAACAAATGCTGCAAGACTTCTCTCTACAAATATTCTGAAATACAACTCTTGCCTTCATGCTGATAAACAAACCTACTATACCACTCTCATCAAATCCCTCTCATTAAATCCTTGTCAACTCTTTTCTATCTTTAATTTCTTACTGGAACCCCCACTACCTCCACCCACTAGCATACTGCCCAAGAGATTGCCAGACGTTTCTAGAACAAGATCAGTACAATTGTGATGAGATCTCCAGTGTCCAGCTTTCTCCTCCAACCAACATACCAGGTCTACCACTAATCTCAACACTTTCCTCCTTCAACCCAATTA